GCATGGAGGGGATTGTAACCATGGCAATGAAATGATATACGATAGGATGAGTGTAAAGCTAATGTTCTCCTATGTAAACTATCACGTAACTCACAATAAACATTAAAAAAAAAAAAAAAAGTAGTGGGAGCCCTGGTGATTAAGCACTTGGCTGTTAACCAGAAGGTTGACAGTTGGCTCCCACTTAGTGGCTTTTTGGGCAAAAGTCCTGTAATTTGCTCCTGTAAAGATTACAGACTAAAAAACCCTGCAGAGGAGTTCTATGCTCTCATATAGGGTTGTCGTGAGTTACAATCAACTTGACTCATAGCAACACAGAGAAGAAATGAGTTATTTTGATGAGGCTGGATTTGGGGAGATAGGTCATAGATCAGTCAGGGCCTTGTAGGATGGTAAAAATTTTACTCTATTTTCCTAGGGGCAATGGGGATCCACTGAAGTGGTGATGTGACCATTCTGGCTGCTTTTTGGGGGTAGGTCAGGGTAGGTGTGAGAAAGAGCATGTTATCAGTGGAGGTGATGGGTGTGAATCACAGTGTATTTAATAATTATTCAAGTAGCTTTTTGTGGGTTGGTGTGAATCCAGTCAAAGAGGGAACCAGTAGAAATTAGGAGTGGATGCATGAGGAAAAAATAGCATAACAATGAAGAGGGACTGACCTACAGTTTAATGGGGTCGGTTCTGTCTCACAGTGACCCTGTATAGGGTTTCTGAGGCTGTAAATCTTTATGGGAGCAGAAAGCCTCATCTTTCTTCCATGGATCAGCTTGTCGTTTCGAACTGCTGACCTTGAGATTAGCAGCCCAATTAGTAACCGCTATACTACCAGAGCTACAGTTTATTTAACTGGGTAAATATATATGAGTGGTTTGTGGAAAAACAAAATGAAAACACAGTGGAATTTGAAATTTTTGTAGGTCCCTTGTAGTGTTTGAAGGGAATCAGAATCTTTGTTTTGAGAAAGTGGCAAACATTTATCAAGTGACTACTAGATTCTTTGCTATGTTATAGTTGTTAGGTACTATCGCGTCTGTTCTGACTTATAGCAACCCTATGAATACCAGAACAAAACACCGCTGGGTCCTGCACCGGCCTCACAATTGTTGTTATGTTTGAGCCCATTATTGTTGCCATGTGTCAGTCCATCTCACTGAGGGGCTTCCTCTTATTCATTGACCCTCCACTTTACCAGGCATGATATTCTTCTCCAGGGACTCATCCCTCATGGCAACATGTTCAAAGTACAAGACACAAAGTCTCACCATCATCATGCCCAAGGTACTTCTTCCCAGATTTATTCATTTTCTGGCAGTACTTGGACATAGGAATTCTTATCAAAGTTGATCATCTGCAGTTACAAGGTTGCAAGGGGGTGTAAAAGTTTTCACAAATATATTAAGCTGACCCCATTGAACACCTCACTGCTAACTACTAGTGCCAGTTTCCTCTCACTGTAGGAGCATTATTGTAGGTCAGCTTTCTATGACTGTCCCATGTGAGATGGAATTTTAGATCTTACAAAAGATGCATGATTACAAAAAGCCTTTGAAAGCAATGTGGGAAAACTGCTTGAATCCCAATCTTGATAACTTAGGATGTGGCAGAGCAGTTACCTTTCAAAGAAATTACCATCAACTGGATAATGATACAAGTACAATTTGAATAGCAAAAAATTGAGAGAACTTTGGGAGCAACAATGATACCCTGGAATAATTTTGCAAAACTTAACTTTTTCATTTGTGTTGTAATGCCAAATATAGAATAGTTTTTTATTTATTTGCTTTTTGACATCAC